ATGAGAGGGTTTTTACAAAACAGAAGTTTTATAAAAGGGTAGAGATTGGAAAGTAAAAGAAGGGAAGAGAGTGTGAGAGGTGCAAAAGGAAAAACTGACAGAATGGGAGAGGCACGTCAAGAAATTTTAATGAAAAAAAGACAAAATTATGGAGTGAGTTCAACAATTTAAGAAAAGCCCAGAGAACGAATGGATCTGTCGTTAAAAAAGAGTAGGGGAGTTGTAGATGGGGGGAAGGGTTTTGGGACATGGCAAGAATATTTTGAGGAACTTTTAAAACCCCTTTTAGGGGTTCGTCCCTACTAGACGGCTTATGCCCCCAGGGGGTTTTTTGACGTCAAGTCGCCCAAATTCGGCGCCCTCAAAATTGTGAGAGAAGCTGGTAGGCCACTATGAAAGAATGGGTTTATGGGGTCATGTGCAGGTATAAAAAAAATCCGCAGCACACAGTGGTAAGAGAAAAAAAAAAAAAATTTGACCCTGTTTTTGGATTAAAAAGCGGTTTCACTATTTTTCTATGGTATTTATTGTTTTTTTGTTTTTCTGGTTCATTTTTTAGAATGGAAGACAATTACGAAATGAGATGATTTTTTTGGTTTTGCAATGAAAAATACCTTGAAAATTTAGCTCAAAGTGGCAGAAATGTTTGTTTTTACCACAGTTTAAAAGTAAACAAAAAACATGCCAAGCATCCCCAAAACATTTAAGGGGAATCTAAATTCTTTCACAAGTGTGCTGGGTATTTTTTACATTTCTAACACTAATGCAGTAGTCTGATAACGTAAATCTTCTATTTTTTTTAAGAATAAAAATTTAAAAGTGGAAAACAAAAGAATATGGAGGGGCTGGAGATGTGATAACGAACAGAGAACTTTTTTTTTTGTGCCGGAATATTTTTGTTCATTCTGGACCCTATTCAGAAATTGGCATCTTTTGAAATTTGTGTGAAATTGGCAAAATTGCCAAATTCTGACCACTTGACTGGATAGTTGAAATCAGTAAATGGGTGGTTTCTTGTACTCATTCGAAAGAAAAAATGGAGTTCTAGCGAAATAGTTATGATTTTTGTTTACTAGTACACTGGAATAGGCCGAAAATAGGGTTCAAAGTGGGCAAAATCGCCAATGTGTAAACATTGCCGAGACCGCTAACTTCACAAGAGCATAATTCCCTAAGTTTTCCATCAACTTTCATACTTTTGGTGTCATTATGATCAGGAAAAGATTCTCTATCTTTTCATAAAAAAAATTTTTTTTTTTTTTAAATTTGGGGACCCTGAGAATAAGTCTCAGAGAGGGCCTGAGGACCCTGAAAGGGTTAAATGTCGACGAAGAAAGGTAAGCAGTAATTTCATGCACTGGCTAGGGAGGTATACCATCTCTTAGGAGTGAAGAAGAACAGGATGTGAGTGTGGGGGAGGTGCGTGAGGCATTACGTAGAATGAAAGTGGGTAAAGCAGCTGGAACTGACGGGATCATGACAGAAATGTTAAAAGCAGGGGGGATATAGTGTTGGAGTGGTTGGTATTTTTGTTTAATAAATGTATGATATGTTGTGTATCTTTATATGTATATGCTTCTAAACTGATGTATTCTGAGCACCTCTGCAAAAACAGTGATAATGTGTGAGTGTGGTGAAAGTGTTGAATGATGATGAAAGTATTTTCTTTTTGGGGATTTTCTTTCTTTTTTAGGGTCACCCTGCCTTGGTGGGAGACAGCCGACTTGTTGAAAAAAAAAAAAAAATGTATGAAAGAGGGGAAGGTACCTAGGGATTGGCAGAGAGCATGTATAGTCCTTTCATATAAAGGGAAGGGGGACAACAGAGATTGTAAAAATTATAGAGGAATAAGTTTACTGAGTATATCAGGAAAAGTGTATGGTAGGGTTATAATTGAAAGAATTAGAGGTAAGACAGAATGTAGGATTGTGGATGAGCAAGGAGGTTTCAGAGTGGGTAAGGGATGTGTAGATCAAGTGTTTACATTGAAGTATATATGTGAACAGTATTTAGATAAAGGTAGGGAAGTTTTTATTGAAGTTATAGATTTAGAAAAGGCATATGATAGAGTGGATAGGGGAGCAATGTGGTAGATGTTGCAAGTATATGGAATAGGTGATAAGTTACTAAATGCTGTAAAGAGTTTTTATGAAGATAGTGAGGCTCAGGTTAGGGTGTGTAGAAGAGAGGAAGACTACTTCCCAGTAAAAGTAGGTCTTAGACAGGGATGTGTAATGTCACCATGGTTGTTTAATATATTTATAGATGGGGTTGTAAAAGAAGTAAATGCTAGGGTGTTCGGGAGAGGGGTGGGATTAAATTATGGGGAATCAAATACAAAATGGGAATTGACACAGTTGCTTTTTGCTGATGATACTGTGCTCATGGAAGATTCTAAAGAAAAATTGCAAAGGTTAGTGGATGAGTTTGGGAGTGTGTGTAAAGGCAGAAAATTGAAAGTGAACATAGAAAAGAGTAAGGTGATGAGGGCATCAAATGATTTAGATAAGGAAAAATTGGATATCAAATTGGGGATGAGGAGTATGGAAGAAGTGAATGTTTTCACATACTTGGGAGTTGACGTGTCGGCGGATGGATTTATGAAGGATGAGGTTAATCACAGAATTGATGAGGGAAAAAAGGTGAGTGGTGTGTTGAGGTATATGTAGACAAAAAAAAATGTTATCTATGGAGGCAAAGAAGGCAATGTATGAAAGTATAGTAGTACCAACACTCTTATATGGGTGTGAAGCTTGGGTTGTGAATGCAGCAGCGAGGAGGCGGTTGGAGGCAGTGGAGATGTCCTGTCTAAGGGCAATGTGTGGTGTAAACATTATGCAGAAAATTCAGTGTGTGGAAATTAGGAGAAGGTGTGGAGTTAATAAAAGTATTAGTCACAGGGCTGAAGAGGGGTTGTTGAGGTGGTTTGGTCAGAGAGAATGGATCAAAGTAGAATGACATGGAGAGCATATAAACCTGAAGGGAAGGAAGGTGGGGTAGTGGTCGTCCTCGAAAAGGTTGGAAGGAACGGGTAAGGGAGGTTTTGTGGGCGAGGGGCTTGGACTTCCAGCAGGCATGCATGAGTGTGTTCGATAGAGTGAATGGAGATGAATGGTATTTGGGGCCTGACGATCTGTTGGAGCATGAGCAGGGTAATATTTAGTAAAGGGATTCAGGGAAACCAGTTATTTTTATACAGCCGGACTTGAGTCCTGGAAATGGGAAGTACAATGCCTGCACTCTAAAGGAGGTGTTCAGGATATTAGCGGTTTGGAGGGATATGTTGTGTATGTTTATACATATATGCTTCTAAGCTGTTGTGTTCTGAGCACCTCTGCAAAAACAGTGATTATATGTGAGTGAGGTGAAAGTGTTGAATGATGATGAAAATATTTTCTTTTTGGGGATTTTCTTTCTCTTTGGGTCACCCTGCCTCGGTGGGAGACGGCCGACTTGTTAAAAAAAAAAAATCATCATCATCCCTGATTTGGCTATCAGTTCTAGGAATTATTAAGATATTTAAGTGCCAATACAATTGCAAAGTCATGAAAAACACATCGGTGCAAAGAATGACAATTCTAAGACTGGCATGGGATGAAGTGCCTGGGTCATCAATAAATGTAAGCAGGGGTCAGTTATGCTTTGTGTGGTGAATAATTTCTGGAATTTTCCTCTGTAAGGAGTAAAGTCAAGGAAATTGTAACTTGGACAAAGACAGAGAGAAATGTGAGGGGTCTTGAAGATATGCATATATGTAGATGTAAATGAACTATGTATTACAAGAGGAAAACATAGGAATAAGTGCAGTATTCAATTCCCAGTTAAAAGAGGAACAGAGAACAGAGAATAAGGTAGAAGAAACTGGAGATGAAGTTAATCTTGCAACAGTTACACAAGCAATTCCATGTTATTGGTAATTATGAAAGGATTTTTTCACTGAAAACAATCCTGACACATCTAAGAGCATTGCTCTGAAGCAGATTCTGGAGCAGCTAATGATGCCTTATCACCGAGTCTATCAAGTATTGCTGGGTATAATAGACCAGACATGAATTACACAATAATTCAGAATAACTACTGACAACTCTGCATCCACATCAACACAAGAAACACAGTCGTCCAACTGAGCCCAGTAGATCAACATTATCTCTCCCCACACACACAAATGTCAACGAGCAATGTAAAAACAAAAGAATAGAGGAGCACTGCAGAAGGCCTACTGGCCTTTGCTAGGCAAATCCTCCTCAAGCTCAATTCTTCTAATTCACATAATTCTCTAATCTACTTTTAAAGCTACCCAAAGCGTTACCTTCAATGACTCTACTTGTCAGATCAACAACCAGGATGCAAGATAAAAACTGCAGCAATTTTTATCTAGTAAAATGTAAAAAAATAAGGTCAGGAAAAAATGAAAGTGTCTGGAACATATTTCTGTTTTTCCCACGTGATTTTCACTTAACATATGCAATTTATCACAAGACACTAACTTTCAGAACCGCGGCACATACTTTATGAGGGGGGTTTACTCAAAATCACATTAAATAGTTTACTAGCACTTATAAACACAGGTTTAGCCATCTCAAATGAAGGTGAGGGACACTACAAGTGAGAAGACAAAATATATATTTTCTTAACCCACAGGCTATCTCCCACTGGTGTAAAAAAAAAAAATAATCACCATCATTCATTCAATGGCCGTCTTGCCAGAAATGCGCAGAATCATAATTAAAACAACTTCCTGAACTGCTATTCTAAAATGCATGATTAAAATTTTGATGCTATGCTAGAGTGCATTACCCAGCATTTTGTAATGCATTTCAATGCACCTTGTAAAGGTAACATATTTTTACATACTTTTACGTAATTCTGCTTAGTTTTGCATCGCAGGACCATCTAGCCTATACCTGTGCCCTCTTTCTCTATGTACAGTTTCCAAGTTAATACGTATTTGAGTGATACTTAAAATAACTTCTACATCAAAATATAATTAAACAACAAACCTGTGAAGTAAGACACTGAGTCTTCTGGGCCAGTGCCTTAACAGTTTTGAGGTTCTTCTGGTGCCGAGGCCCATGTGAACGAGAACGAGATCGACTATGGCGGGTCTTCCGCAGACGACTGAAAAGCACAGTATAACATTTATATTAATAAGCCAGAGTCACTGAATTAAACAAGTGTCAATTTAATAACAGAACAGCTGCTAATACCAAAGTTAAGCTACTTTAACCTAGCACAGTGAGAAAATGTTGATAAATATTGTTTTAATAAGAATACTACCATAGTGCTAAAGTATATATGTCTGTAGCTTCTAAAATATGAGAGAGAGAGAGAGAGAGAGAATTTTAAATAGCTTAAACTAACAATTTTTCTGCAAATAATTATACAATTTCCAGGAAAATTATCTTTTAGACCTTATTAAACAAATATTTATAAACTCAAATGACAAACTTTTACACAAAGTTTATGAAGTAAAAAACAAATTGAACCCATTTAATATGTACACTGTGGTTATATATCTATCAGTTTTAAATGTTGGCAAGTTCAGACATGCTAGTGTGTTGCAACATTATATTGTACACTGCAGTGATAAGATAACCATGCAAAATGCAACATCATACATCAACAACTGGGTCATATTTACAGTAACTGGTCTTATATACAGGGTAAACTTGTCATAACATCTACTACACTTGCTAATAATTCTAAATTTCTTCTCAAAATTTTTGGCATTTATACTGAACATAAGAATGTGCCCTTTAAGCAAAATGTATGTAGCAGTAAATGAAGCAAAATTATAATAAAGACAAATAGTATACAAATTTGGCAATACATGTATGCACAGCAATATACTGAGGGATGGCTTGGTCTGACTCAGTGTAGCTACTTGTCCGTTCTTAAAGACAAATATAAGAACTGGAGAAATATCATAAATAAGGGAATAATCTTACATTTAACAAGCAAAAAAGAGATAAAACTGCATCAATGAACATTGTAACACTTGAGGAATTCATTAAGTTTCAAGCATTTACTTTGATATACAATACTTTACTACTATAATTGTGAAGTATACAGTGATTAAAACAATAGTGTATAATACACCTTAAAATAGGATGACATGCATCAATTTTAATACTGCACAGTGTTAGGTGAAGTGCTCTATGATAAGCAATCTCAACCTCATCTACCCAATTAGATCTTTCCTTTACATAAAAGCTAGAAAGCATATCACCTATTCACAAAGAATAAATTTTAATGTAAAAAGTGTTAACACTTAAATAATAAGATTGAAAAGTAACAAACTTACTTAAAGATTAATGAGTCAAAACAAGTTTATGTTGTGTGACACACTTGCAAGTTTGTTCGTTTCTTCACTTCCACAACAGTATCTACCTGTCTGTGGTTATTTGTTAGGATTTATTGTGTCCAACATCTGTAACCCTTTTTTGGGGATTGAAACTTATCTCCACTACTTCCTAATCTTACACTAGTCTTCCATTTATTCACTATATTCACAGTGAAGGGTTTCATTCATGTACTGTACCTATAAATTATTACTGACTCTTTGTCATCAGTGAAGACTCTTGAATCACATAATGACTCTAACATCATCATCACTGGAGAAGCCTGGTATAGATACTCAAAAATCCAGGAAAAAGGAATTAATGTACAATTGTTATGGATTCCATCACATCTTGGAGTACTCATTCAAGATAAGTTTGTCAAAAAAAAAAAAAGAAGTGCCATGAAGGAAAATGTACAATATAATTTTGATGTGTCTGTGTCAAGCATTAGGAGAGAAGTAAATAATGAAACTGAATGTTAAGAATGCAGTTAGTAGAATAAGTAGATCTATTACTATAATACATATGTAAGTACGTTTATGGAGCAACTTGCAATGTGAACAGACTGACTTATGTTGTAGAATCCAGGCTTAAGCTTGGTTACAAGTACTTTCAACAATTTGGCAGACATAGAGATGATGATCAAACTAAATGCAAAGTACACAGCACATGGTCACTATCTTGAACACTATGTGCTTAACTGTCCACTTATTGAGGAATACAGAGATAGACAATATAATAACTTATGTGATATACCAAGCTATCTTATTAATGAAAATAAGATACCAGACACATTAACCCTTTCAGGGTCGAGAGGCCCTCTCCTAAACTTGATCTCAGCGTCGAAAATTTTTTGAAAAAATAAAAATTATTTTTTTCTCAAGAAATGATAGAGAATCTTTTCCCGGTCATAATGGCACCAAAAGTATGAAATTTGATGGAAAACTTACGGAATTATGCTCTGGCAAAGTCAGCGGTCTCAACGATGTTTACGCATCAACGATTTCACCCACTTTGAACCCTATTTTCGGCCAATTCCAATGGACCAGTCGACAAAAATCATAACTATTTTGCTAGAACTCCATTTGTTCTGTCGAATGAGTACAAGAAACCACCCATTTACCGATTTCAACTTTCCAATAATGTGGTTAGAAATTGGCAATTTTGCCAATTTCACACAAATTTCAAAAGATGCCAATTTCCAAATAGGGTCCAGAATAAACAAGACAGACATTCCTGGCACTAAAATAACATTTTCTCTGTTCATCCCCAGGCCCCTCTTACATTTCTTTTGCTTTCCATTTTGAATTTTTATTCTCACAAAAAATAGAAGATTTACTGTTATGCAGACTACTGCATTATTGTAGAAATGGTATAAATAATATCAGTGCACTTGTGAAAGAATATCAGACTCACCAGTTGGTGTGTATTGGACGCGTGGCATGATTTGTTTACTTTTGAACATTGGCAAAAATCAAACATTTCTGCTACTTTGAGCTCAATTTCAAGGTACTTTTCTTTGTGAAACCTATCAAAATCATCTCAATTTCTGTAATATGTCTTCCATTCTATAAAATGAGACCAGGAAAACGAGAATACAACCATAAATATCATACGAAAATACACTGTAAAGTCGCAGTTTTAAACAAAAAACACATTAGAATTTTTTTTTTCATTATGCACTGTGTGCTGCAGGATTTTTTTATACTGTGCACACTGACCACATAGACCCATTCTTTCATATGCAGGCCTACCAACTTTCTCTAGCTAGATCTGAAGGCGCTAGAATTTACACGTACTAGTACGGCACCAACCCTGGCGTACAAGCCATACTAGTACGACACCGACCCTGAAAGGGTTAATTGTGAATTTGCTTGCAACAAATAGGTCAACTGTAGATATAAATCCAGATGTACTGTAAACCCTTCTGGGGCCTAGTTCCATATGCTCTTGTGCTACCATCCACAGGATGAATATGGGGTGTACAGTACACTAGCCATGTTGGTGGCAAAATCTAATCTAATCTTTAGCACCTTCTCGTGGTCAGTTCCTAGCTGTGAGTCCTCAGCATGGTTCCAATTTAATTAAAAAACCTGAAATTTTTCAGTTAGAAAAAAGAAAAAGGCTCATGCAATGAGTAATCTTCAATGTGATACAGTGAAAAGAATGAAAAATAGGTCATTACAGCTAAATAAAACAGTGTACTAAATGTGTGGTTTGAAAAACAAAGAAAGGTGTTCCATTTGATAGCCTTATTATCATATTATAAAACAGTATGAGAGGCAGAAGGACTGACCACAAAACAAGTGCACATTTAGTTCTGGGTGGTTTAACTGGTTTACAATGCACAGTGCTGTTTAAAGAACTGTAAGGTAAAGCAAACCAGCAACACATGACAAAATACCTGAGCATTCCACTGCACCAATCAAATGATGAAGCTGCATTAACATCACATCAATCCTAACCAGTGGCAGCTCATTGTGCCAGTAGTACCTATATAGTGGACCCTCAACCAATGGTGGCATCGACTAATGGTGCTCTTTCGCGTCAAAAAATTGGCTCTACCAATGGCGAAAAAATCGTTCAAAAGGCTTTCGTTCCGAATGTGTCCATGCAGCCAGAGCACGGCCTGAGCAGGCCCAGCCACTCCAAGACACCACGTACAGCCAGTGGGCGAGTGTTTACAAGCCATTTCGGTCGATCCCACGTGTACCTGTGATGTATTTTGTATTATTCCAGTGTTTTTAGTGCTTGTAACCGCTAAATAAGCCACCATGGGCTTCTAGTGCCAAGCCTGTGGTAAAAAGGGTGAGAATTACAATGGAAATGAAGAAAGAGATCATTGAAAAATATGAAAGTGGAGTGCGCATGTCTGGGTTGGAAAGGCTATATAACAAACCCCATTCAACCAGAAAGAAAGGCAATCAAGGAAGCTGTTGTTGTGAAAGGTGCAAATATGTTTTCAAAACGGAGATCGCAAATAACTGAAGAGGTGGAGAGACTGTTGTTGGTGTGGATAAATGAAAAACAATTATCAGGAGATAGTGTTTCTCAGTCAATAATATGTGAAAAGGCAAGGTAGTTGCATGATGATCTCGTTAAGAAAATGCCTCCAAATAGTGATGATATTGATGAATCTAAGGCCAACAAAGGCTGGTTTGAGAGATTTAAGAATTGTAGTGGAATACACAGTGTGATAAGGCATGGTGAGGCTGCCAGTTCAGACAAAAAAGTGGCTGAAAAATATGTGCAGGACTTTAAGGAGTACATAGAGACTGAAAACTTAAAACCCCAACAAGGGTTTAATTGTGACGAACCAGGCCTGTTTTGGAAGAAAATGCAAACAGGACGTACATTACACAGGAGGAAAAAGCACTGCCAGGACACAAGCCTACGAAAGACAGGCTAACTCTAATGATTTGTAGTAATGCTAGTGGGGATTGCAAAGTGAAACCTCTTCTCGTGTATCACTGAAAATCCCAGTGTGTTCAAGAAAAACAGTGTTGTCAAGGCTAATTTGTGTGTGATGTGGAGCGCAAACAGTAAGGCATGGGTCACTAGGGACATTTTCTCTGATTGGTTCTATCATGTGTTTGGCCCCACTGTGAAAAATTACCTCCTGGAAAATAAATTGTCACTTAAGTGCATTCTGGTAATAGACAATACTCATGCTCATCCTCACGACTAGCAAGAGCAAATTGCGGGGGAGTTTAGCTTCATAAAAGTGAAATTTTTGCCTCCTAATACAACTCCTCTCCTCCAGCCCATGGACCAGCA